CATTTTGGCTATTTTCTCAAATCTAATTTTTATTTTCAATAGAAAGACATAATCTTCCATTTAAATGGAATTCACAATATTTAACATTAATTAAGATTATAATTATTAATAAATATTCTTCAAATAAAAATCTCCAAAAAAATGTCAGTAAGGTTTTCCAAATTGGATAACCAATAGAAATCAACTACGTACACATATTTAAAAGAAAAAAAAAATCCTAAGAGTTGTCGAACCTCTTCCTTCTTCATCTCCGTGCAACTTCCGAGAATTCAATCATAATAAAAACTTCAATATCGGATTAGGGTTTTTCTCAAATTCTCCAAAACTCTGAGGTAACTAAATCGCTCCTTCTTATAAGCTAATTTGAACATTATATATAAAAACTATTCTGTTTTACTGTTCCTGTTGCCAAAACATATGGTTATCAATCTTAGGGTTTACGAAGATTAAGCCTTCTAGAATTTGGATTGAACCATAAAGTTCAAAACTTTACCTCTCTTTCTCTGTTAAAAAAAAAAAAAATCGAAATTGTTTAGTTTTTGCAGTTTAGTGATTCTTATTGTTTCCATTGAGTAGTGTTGGTTCAAGTTTCTGCAGCTAAAGCTTGATTTGGTTAGGTTTAGAATCTGAAAAGTTTCAGTCTTTGGTTATGACATTGCTTTGCATCGTTCTGTTTTTAGTTTGATCTCTGTTTCAGCCTCTCTGTTCATTAAGGTTGTCTCATATCTAAAAGGTTTGGCACTTGTTGCAGGACATGTCAGGGAAAGGGGTGATAGCAATATGTATCTCTGGTGGACAGTTTGTGACAGAGAGAGGAGGAGCGTTAACTTACAGAGGAGGCGATGCTCATGCAATAGATGTAGACGAGGAGATGAAGTTTCAAGACTTTATCTTAGAGATTGGGGAGATGTTTAACTTTGACGCTACCACAGTTTGTCTCAAATACTTTCTCCCTGATAACAAGAAGACTCTTATCACCGTCTCTAATGATAAAGACTTGCAACGGATGGTTAAGTTTCACGAGAACTTAAACAGTGCTGATGTCTATCTTATTCCTGAAGAATCTGCTCCTCCTGAGGCTAGTAGGTAAGCACAAAGCCTCATTATCATCAGGGCCGGTCCTTCGATTTTGGAGACTGTAGATGTAATGCTATAGGCTAATGCTTGGTTTTTGAGAGTTTCTTTTTGTTCTAACAGATCTAGCAGAACGACATTGTCTGAAGCTATCCCACCAGTTCCTTTGGACAACATGATGGATGATGACACAACAGGACCAGAAGATCTTCCCCTTTCAGTCTCAGCTCCTCCTGTTGTAACCATGGATCAAGTCATGGACCAAGCTGCAGATTCACAGATTGACCTTATAACTCCACCAGATATAATCTCATCGATGGTTCTTGATGTCCAGAATCCCACAGGAGATATTCTCACAAAGGCAGGAACACAGCAATGGCAGAACACAATCACAGGCCTTGGACAGAGGTTTAAAAACGTCAACGAGTTTCGCGAAGCACTGAGAAAATACGCTATTGCAAATCAGTTTGGTTTCCGTTACAAGAAGAACGATAGTCACCGAGTAACTGTTAAATGCAAAGCAGAAGGTTGTCCTTGGAGGATTCATGCTTCGAGACTATCAACCACTCAGCTGATATGTATCAAGAAGATGACTCCTTCACATACCTGTGAAGGTGCAGGTGGTATCAACGGTCTTCAGACTAGTAGGAGCTGGGTTGCAAGCATTATAAAGGAGAAGCTGAGAGTTTTTCCTGACTATAAACCGAAAGATATCGTCAGTGATATTAAGGAAGAGTATGGGATTCAGTTGAACTACTTTCAAGCTTGGCGTGGGAAAGAGATAGCGAGAGAACAGCTTCAAGGATCATACAAGGACGGTTACAAGCAGCTTCCGGTTTACTGCGAGAAGATTATGGAAACTAATCCAGGTAGCCTCGCTACATTCACAACCAAAGAAGACTCAAGCTTCCACCGTGTTTTTGTGTCATTCCACGCCTCTGTTTATGGTTTTCTAGAGGGTTGTAGACCGCTAGTGTTTCTTGATAGTATGCCTTTGAAGTCAAAGTATCAAGGGACTTTGTTAGCTGCAACTTCTGTGGATGGGGACGATGAAGTGTTTCCTCTAGCGTTTGCGGTTGTTGATTCGGAGAGTGAGGATAACTGGGAGTGGTTCTTGCTTCAGCTGAGAACTGTTATGTCCTCCACGCCTTGCCCTATCACTTTCGTTGCGGATAGGCAAAAGAGTCTCCAGGAACTGATCCCAAAAGTGTTTGTTAACTCGTTTCACGCCTACTGCTTAAGGTACTTGACTGATGAGCTCATCAGAGACTTGAAAGGACCGTTCTCACACGAGATCAAACGGATAATAGTCGATGACTTTTACTCAGCAGCTTATGCACCAAGACCAGACTCATTTAATGGATATTTAGATAAAATCAGAGGCCTCTCGATGGACGCTCACAACTGGATCTTGCAGAATAGCCAGCCTGATCACTGGGCCAACGCTTACTTTCCTGGTGCTAGATACAACCACATGACTTCAAACTCAGGTGAACCGTTCTTCACATGGGCTTCAGACGTTAATGATCTACCAATAACTCAAATGGTTGATGTGATCCGAGGGAAGATCATGGCAATGATTGACGTGAGACGTATCAACGCAGCCGAGGCTAATGGAAGATTAACTCCTTCCATGGAGATAAAGCTAGAGAAAGAGTGTGTAAAAGCGCAAGCTCTTCATGTAACTCCATCAACAGATAACAATATGTTTCAAGTCCATGGAGAGACGTATGAGGTTGTGAACATGGAGCAGTGTGACTGTAGCTGCAAAGGTTGGCAGTTAACAGGCTTACCGTGTCACCACGCCGTTGCGGTTATAAGCTGTAATGGACGTAGTCCTTATGACTTTTGTTCTAGGTATTTCAGTGTTGACAGTTATAGGTTGACTTACTCTATGTCTATAAGTCCGGTTCCTTTGTTAGAAGGAGAGATTTGTAGAGAGAGCTCAGGGGGTTCTGTGATGATGGTTACACCACCACCTACACGGCGGCCTCCGGGGAGGCCACCGAAGAAGAGAACACCTGCGGATGAGGTGATGAAGAGACAGCTGCAATGTAGTAAGTGTAAGGGGCTTGGTCATAACAAATCAACTTGTAAAGTATATCCTCTTCTTGAATGCTAGTTTTTATTTACTTTTTGATCAACTATTTTAAATTTAACACTTCTTTATGAGTTTAATTTGATTCAACAAAAATTCTTAAAATTAATCACTTGTGAACTTGTCTTAACTATAGTAAGATTAGAGAAATACATAACCAATAAGAATGGATTTATTTGTTCATTATAAAAAAAAAAATCTTTTGTTGACTTTGACAAGATCATAACCCTCAGAAACGAATCACTCTTTTCCTACTCACTACAAAGAATAAAGGGTTACAAAATAATCAGATTGAGAATGAATAACACTAACAAAACAGAGGAAGAAGATAGAGAAGAGTTGGTGTTTTTTCTCAGACTATTCCCTTTAGCTTTTGTGTTTACAAGTAACAAAAAATAATTAAATCACAAGCCGAGCCAGGGACACTGGTTCCTAGCATGTTCAGGTACTAACTTAGCCACCATCTCCAGAGACACACCCTTAAGCTCTGCATTCACACAAACACATTAATAAAAGAGTATGAGTTTAATTAAAGTCACTCTTCTATATGATGCTTTTGAGCTTTTTATAACTCAACAAGAATGTGATTAGTACCATGAGGCTTGAAATTGAATAACGGTGGAAATAAACGTCCATTAGGCAACCTTGCATTGGGATCTCTAAGCTCGTCAAAGAAGGGGTGGACCAATACATCAAGCTAAGTGGCAAGGACACAAGTTTCAACAAAATAAGATAAAGAGAAGAGAGGTTTTGCAGAAATGAAAGAAGGTATGGTAAAGAGAAGTTGCAATATACATACAGCAGTGAAACGGAGATTGGGACAGTACTGAAGAAGCCTTGACACTAAATCAACAGCTTCTGGAGGCATCCTCTTGTGAAATGTCTGTATTTCCAATGAGCAATGGTTTCAGTAAACAGCTAGTTGAATAAGTCATTTAAATTTTTTAAAGCTCATGTTTAACCTTATGCCATGGATGAGCTTTAATCTGTGGGAACTTGAACTCTTTGTAATTTGGGTTCATGCATTTGATTTCTTCCCTTGTTGGTGTTCCCAAAACCTGTTCAGTTCATGAATATAATAATCATTACACAACATTTATAAGTGTAACTCTGTACATTGTTAATAGATGTAATAATAATACCTTTATAATCTCTACAAGTTGATCAACACGGCTCTCACCAGGGAACAATGGCTACAACATAACAGACTGGTCAACCACTGAACTAGGATTTGAGATTTGAGAATATTTTATTACCTGTCCAAGAAGAAGCTCAGCGAGAACACAACCTGCAGACCAGACATCAATGGATGTAGTATACTCAGTGGCTCCAAAAATAAGCTCAGGTGCTCTGTAATACCTTGAGCATATATATGAAATGTTTGGCTCTCCTTTAACCTGTTTCAAAAGTCAGCATTTATCGAATAAACAGTTGAGTTCCTCTGCTTCAAAGACAGATTCATCAAACTCACCAACATTTTAGCACTTCCAAAATCACATAGCTTCACTTGATGAGTATTTGGATTCACCAACAAGTTTTGAGGTTTTATGTCGCGATGACACACGCCTATACATCGGTGAATGTAAGATAAGGACCTGAATATCTGCCAGTACATAATAAATCTCCAATAAGACAAAGGTTAAAAGATTATAATCAGACAATTCAAATACTAATGTCTACCTGATAAGTGTAGAGTTTGGTGTAAACAAGAGGCATTCGTTGGTTAATGTTGCTGTAGTGTTTGATAACGTGGTGAACTGTCTCTGGAACGTATTCAAGAACCAAGTTGAGGTAAAGCTCGTCTTGCTCGGTTGTTGAGAAGAAGCAGTGTTTCAAAAACACTACGTTAGGATGGTCAAATAGCCTCATTGTTTGTAACTCACGGTTCTTGTATCTCCGATCTTGTAAGACTTTCTTTATTGCAACTATGTCTCCTGTTTCTAAACATTTCGCCTGAGAAGAACCAAAAAGAAAATGATATCATGTCTCAGTTGCAAAGACATATGGTTACTCTGAAGAAAGAAGACTTACTTGGAACACAACTCCAAAGGCTCCTTGTCCAACAGCTCTCTCTGCCATGTAACTGATTGTCTGAAGTTTAACATCCAAGAAAATGCAATTAGATACTGATACTCTAATGAACTACTTAAGAAGGATCATAAACCTGTTTTGGTTGGCCATTTCTTCCACCTATTGCAGTTACTATTATATTACCAGTCTCTGTTAAATTGCCATATACAATTGTATCTTCCATTTCCTGGTGAAACATCAACCAAGTCAGTTAACAAGAGAGAAAGATAAATGTGATTCATCATCAAAACCAGAAAAACAGAAAAAAGAGATTATACTTTATCATCTTGAATTCTCATGTGGGTCATCTCCTCATTTAACCTATCAACATCAGTAACGTTTCCAATAAATTCTCTAACCACAGCAATAGGATCTATGCCCATGGTGGCCATTCCAGTAACTCTGCCTTTTTCAGGTCAACCCTGTAGCAAAGTGTGATGGTTTAGAGCACATCTTTTATAAACCATATCAACATGGAAACTTTGTGATTTTTAAGGAGATAATGGAGGCAATTAGCACCTAAAAATAAGGGTTTACAACGTAATTAGGAAAATGGAATCAATTTACATAACCATAAAAAAAAGATAGTAAATTTCAATCAAACAAGAGAAATTTGATACTCAGATAATCCAAATTCAAATCATACCAAAAATAAAAGAAAACTAAAATTTAGTTTTGATGATGATGATGAATCTGTCTCTTTCCTTTGGTGTAATGAATAATAAATGAATTAAATTGAAACTTGAAAGAATAGAAATGAAGCTCTGTGGCTGAGCTTTATGACCAGAGAGGCCTATGAAAGAAGATCATTGGAATTTGAAAGTACATTTGGTCTGGTTTTTCACTCATTTTTAGTTTTGACCATTCAAACATTTATTTGCCCCCACTCTGTGTCTTAGTGCAGCCTACTAAAAACCTTCGTGATCCATCCTCTCTATTTGTTTTTAAATATTCTTAGGTTGTAATTGGTTAGACTAACATACCACCCAAAACAATCTCACAATAATGCTGGTTTTAATGTTAAAAAAACAGGATTTATATTTTAATTCATTCCTTTTGTATACAATTAGTGGCATATTAAATAAAAATAATAATCTACTGTAAACAATCTATAATTGGTCCTTTTTAATAGTTCCGTTCCCATTTGTCCACACATAAAAAAAAAAAGAGTCAAGCTTGTATTGTAAAAGTAGGTAAGCTATATTCACTAAATTGCACTATATGATGACATTTCCGGCCAAGTATATATAATTTTATAATTGGTTCTTAATTTAATCACCCAGCCGAATATATTGTAATAATTTTTTTAAAAAGGGATATCTTGTAAATCTGGGAGGTGGTATCTGTTAGTAAACGACATAGTAGGAGACAGGAGTGATTTATGAATTTCTTGTTTATAATACACACAATACAGCACATGCATAAACACTGCTGAACTGGGCCATGTTAACATAATTGAAATGAGCTTCTTCATGGGCCTTCAAAAAACACTAAGGCAAAAGAAAAAAAAGAAAATGTTAGAGGAATGGTCCCGGCGGGGCTCGAACCCGCGACCTTCGGCTCATAAGACCAACGCTCTAACCAACTGAGCTACGGGACCACATTGATTTTTTGATATTTAGCTTATTACTAGAACCGTTGAAGTGGAAACTGAGAATTACAGAGAAAGAAGCTTTGTTTTGCTGAATAATACTTTCTTTCTTAATTCCAAAATACAGAGTTTACAACGATATTTAAGGAGGTCATCGAACAATCTCGACTCCTTGACCATACATCTGTAAAGCTAAAGTAAAGGGAGGTTTTATCCAGCACATAATGACAAGAGAGGAGTAAACCTATTGTGGATAGAATCCAGCTGCTCTTCCGTACCACGCTTGGCTCTGCAACTCGACAAAACGCAACTTGGAGAAGACCGTTGAGATATCATCAGATTGGGCTTCTTGTGGGTATCAGAATTTGAATTATGTTGGGCCAAATTCAAATTCTGTTGGGCCTTGCTTACACTCCCCCGCAAACTTGAGGTGGGGCTTGCTTCAACTCCAAGTTTGGCTCTGAGAAATTCAAATTGACGTCGAGGAAGCGACTTAGTAAAGATGTCAGCAGTCTGATGAATTGCAGAGATGTGTCTAGTCTCAACCAAGCCCAACGCCACTTGTTCTCGAACATAATGATAGTCCGTATCAAAATGTTTTGACCTTTTGTGTAGAGCAGGATTCGTGCTGAGATAGACCGCAGAGAGGTTATCACACAGGAGCAAAGTCGCATGAGGCTGAGGTACTTTGAGATCCCGGAGAAGATTGGACATCCACGAGATCTCCTGAGCTGTAGCAGCAAGAGCTCGGTATTCTGCTTCTGTAGATGATTTGGACACCGTGTCCTGTCTTTTAGCAGACCAAGAAACCAGATTGGAGCCGAGGAATGTACAGAAACCTGTAGTGGAACGTCGTGTCTGTTGGCAACCCGCCCAATCACTATCACAGAATGCCATCAGAGACAAGTTTGTATCCTTCTTCATGCGTAGACCAAGAGAAACAGTCCCTTTAAGGTACCGGAGGATGCGTTTTAGAAGACCAAAATCAGACATTGTTGGCGAGTGCATCCTCTGGCACACAAAGTTGACTGCAAACTGGATATCAGGACGAGTTATGGTGAGATATTGCAGCTTCCCAGCAAGGCTTCTAAAATAGGTTGGTTCAGGAAACAGTGTTGAATCCACATCTTCAATTCGTTGAGGCAATGGCGTAGGCATAGGATTACAATCTTGCATAGCAGCCAAGTGAAGAATATCTTCAAGATACGCTTTCTGATGCATGAACAGACCATTGGTATCAAACTCCAGCTCAACTCCAAGAAAATACGAAGGGGAACCCATATCTTTCATTGAGAAACGGGAAGCCATGGCATCAACTAGCTGCTGCAGAAGATGAGGATTGTCACCAGTGAGGAGTATATCATCAACATACAACAGAAGAACCAGAGTGGAGCTCATCCTGTGATACGTAAAGAGAGAAGGGTCTGATTTGCTGCAAACAAAACCAAACTCTATCAGGAACGAACTGAAAGTATCAAACCAAGCTCTCGGTGCTTGCTTGAGACCATAGAGAGCTTTGGTTAATTTGCAGACATAATCAGGTTTTGACGGATCCACAAAGCCTTCTGGTTGATACATGTACACCGGTTCCTGTAAATCTCCATGAAGGAAAGCACTGGTGACATCTAGTTGCCTTATCTTCCACCCCTTAGCAACTGAAATATCAAGAACCAGTCTTATAGTAGACGTTCTGACAACTGGACTGAAAGTCTCTAAGTAGTCCAATCCTTCTTCCTGTTGGAAACCTTTACCAACTAGCCTTGATCTATATTTATTCACTGTGCCATCAGGATTATATTTGACCGTATGAACCCATCTGCTAGTCACTATGTTCATGTCTGGCGTTGGTGGAACAAGAACCCATGTGTTCAACATATGTATGTTTTCCATCTCTGTGGTAACAGCTCCATTCCAGCCCGGATGTTGCATTGCTTCTGCAATGTTCTTGGGAAGAGCAGTAGAGTACTTCGTAGTGAGCATTGCATATCTTGTGTTTGGTTTCCTAATGCCTGCTTTGGCCCTGGTTTGCATAGAATGTTGATTGGAAACAGGAGGTTGAGGTTGAGGATCTTCTTGGGCAGTGACAATCTCATCTTGAACCGGAGCAACAGCTTCTTGTGGATGTTGAACTCTCTGAGGAGTGGGGAGGGTTCGGGTAATTCTGTTATCAGGAACTGGTACTTCTTCAGGACTTGTTGCTCTTTGCCACGCTCTCAGCAGAGTGGACTCATACTTAGGAACAAGGTCTTTGTACTGAGACTTGAAAGGAAAGCATTCTTCATTGAAGATAGCATGGCGTGTGATATAAACCTTACCAGTTGGTGGGTATAAGCATCTGTAGCCTTTATACTGATTACTATACCCTACAAAGACACACTCAAGACTCTTTGGTTCAAACTTGTGAGATTGCAGAGGTCTCAAACATGGAAAACATGCCGAACCAAATGCTCTAAGTACTCCATACTCAGGTTTGATCTTGTGAAGCTTCTCAAAGGGACTTCTTGCATCATCATCTTTAGCAGGTAGAAGGTTGGTAATATGACACGCTGTAGCAAAAGCTTCTACCCAATAATGAAGAGGAAGGTGGCTGTGAAACATCATAGAAAGACCAAGTTCCACAACATGCCTGTGCTTCCGTTCTGCCACGCCATTCTGTTCCGGAGTATAGGGACATGAAATACGATGGAGAATCCCATGATCTTGTAGAATTTTCTTCATTGAGTTATTAACAAACTCACCTCCACCATCTGACTGAAATTGTTTTATCTTAGTGTTGAACTGAGTTTCCACAAACACCTTAAAAGTACTGAAATTTTGACTGAACTCTGCTTTATTTCGTAATGGATAAAACCAGGTGAACCGAGTACAATCATCAACAAAGACAGCATAATAACGAAACCCTTGATTGGATAATACAGGGGAAGGACCCCAGAGGTCACAGTGAACCCGTTCAAGAGGTTTATCAACACTAGAATGAGACTGAAAAAACTGTAATCTACTGCTTTTCCCCATCTGGCAAGGCTCACAAACTGGGGAACTTCTGCTCTTATTGACTGTTATTTCCTTGCTGGACTTGAGACGTTGAAGAATCTTGAAGTTTGAATGCCCCAAACGTAGATGCCAAGTGTCTTCAGATGCAGCCACCTGACGATCTGAGAAGTAAGCAACCAGCTCTTGATTCTTCAACTGATACAACCCTTTATTTCTGTTTCCCTTCAACGTTGTCAGTGCCACGACGAACCACATGAGTTGCTGGAGGAGATACAATAGCTCCATTGACGAACCCAAGGAGCTTTTGACTTGAGAGAAGAGATTCAAACTGGGTCTTCCATAGCAAATAATTGCTATCCGTAAGCTTGAGAGTCACGCAACTGAGAACATGAACTTTACTTGGAAAGGGATAAGGATTCACTGGATCAGCCATACCTGTTAAGGTCTAGATAGCTCTGATACCATGAGAATTACAGAGAAAGAAGCTTTGTTTTGCTGAATAATACTTTCTTTCTTAATTCCAAAATACAGAGTTTACAACGATATTTAAGGAGGTCATCGAACAATCTCGACTCCTTGACCATACAGCTGTAAAGCTAAAGTAAAGGGAGGTTTTATCCAGCACATAATGACAAGAGAGGAGTAAACCTATTGTGGATAGAATCCAGCTGCTCTTCCGTACCACGGTTGGCTCTGCAACTCGACAAAACGCAACTTGGAGAAGACCGTTGAGATATCATCAGATTGGGCTTCTTGTGGGTATCAGAATTTGAATTATGTTGGGCCAAATTCAAATTCTGTTGGGCCTTGCTTACAAATTCAAATTCTGTTGGGCCTTGCTTACAGAAACCATGTGTTAGAACATGCTCATGTAACCTTTACGTTTTGATAGAGACAATTCAAATGACTACACATACTGTAACATACACACCTACAACATTATCTTAGATATTTCTCAATTACATGTTATACCAAAAAAGTACTTATCTCTTGGAGACCAGTACTCTATCAACGATTCAACATCATTCAATTACATTGATACAACGATCTTCAATTTTTCATCATTACCTTGTTGCTTCTTGTCTGGCTTCTAGTTTCTTGAAGACAGAACTCTAGCTTCACTATTCAAATCTTTTTTTTTGTATTCAAATCTTGATTCATCCCTGTTACTCAATCTTTTACTTTTTATCAAGAGATTGAAACTTTCACTGAGAAATTTAACAAGTTAAATTTCAAATTAACTTGATAAACTGGTAAATATCAACTAAAAAAGTCATCTTGTTATATTATATTGTAAATATCAATTCAAATGAACTTGTAAATTTGAAATTATAAGATTCTACATAAACAAATAAATATACACAAATTTTTAAAAGAGATTGGCAAACCACATTTATGAAAGTTTCATTACAATCCACATGCAAATTTTAATATTACCGAAATAGATTGCATGGAGCAAGCTAAAAAGAGGAATAAAAAATATTAAAAGTTTGGTGTAATAATAGAACATCAAATTAGCCGTAGACTAGTTCCAATACCCACAAAACATTCTCTTCCTAAAACAAATCTCCCATTTCAGGATTCAAATTTCTCAGATATAAAAAGAACACTCAAAAATAAAAGTTATTTTCCTCTTTAAACTTGTCATTTGCAATCTTGGATGTTGGATTCTGATGATGAATGCTATAGTTTTTCTTGGAAACTCAACGATGAGACCCTCAAAATGTATTCTCCGTGCGTTCACAAGACTCTCTCCATCTAGAAACGCCGCGTTTCAACCACATCCTTACCGTTGCATAAACCAAAACATCAACAGTCAAGATCCATATAGAATCATCAAACTGAGAAATGTTGTACCGTTTTGTACAAACCGGCCAAGTTCTGTTACACCTCAGGTTGCTTCCGAGGCAAGAAACGTCTCTGCTTCCAGAACATGCACAAAGGATCCGACATTGGGTCAAACCATCCCCAAGAACGGCTTTAATGTGAAGCCATTAACCGTTGAGAGGCTAGAAGAAGATGAGAAAGATGAAGAGGTTGTCGATGGAGATGTCAGAAACATAGACAAGGAGGGTTTGGAGAGTGTCAGAAGAAAGGAAATCGAGGAGGAGGCTTGGAAGTTGCTTAGACAATCAGTAGTGACGTATTGTGATTCTCCTGTTGGAACCATGGCTGCTAATGATCCAACCGATACAGCACCTTTAAACTATGATCAAGTCTTTGTTAGAGATTTTGTACCTTCAGCTCTTGCTTTCTTGATGAAGGGAGAAAGTGATATTGTTAGGAACTTCCTTCTTTATACGTTGCAGCTTCAGGTATGAACAGTGGTGGAGCTAGCAAAATAATTATTGGGAGGCAAATAATAACTATAAATAAAATTATTATTAAATTATTGATTACTTTATAAAGGCAGTTTTGTTAACTACATAAATTCATTATACGATATAATTTATACGTAAAACCATTTTTTTAAAAAGTATGTTATAATTTTTTTTTTAAATAGCTTAAATGCAATTTTTTTCTCAACTATATAAATTCACTGTTATACACTGAAAAAAAAGACTTGTGTAAAAGCAAATAGTTTGCATTAGGACATGAACCTTAGTGTTTGTTGTTGTGTGTTACAGAGTTGGGAGAAAACAGTTGATTGTTATAGTCCAGGACAAGGACTAATGCCAGCGAGTTTCAAAGTGAGAATTTCACATCTTGAAGAGGACAAGTTTGAAGAGGTTCTTGATCCAGACTTTGGTGAGTCAGCTATAGGTCGTGTTGCTCCTGTTGATTCTGGTCAGTACTTTCTTGTTTCTTCAAAATCTGGTGGTGTAGCTAAAGAACAAATCAGTGTTGATTAAATAGAAAAAAAAAAAAAATTCTCAGGTTTATGGTGGATAATACTGTTGAGAGCATATGGGAAAATCACAGGAGACTACTCGCTGCAAGAGAGAGTAGATGTTCAGACAGGGATAAAGATGATTGCAAACTTGTGTTTAGCTGATGGGTTTGATATGTTTCCAACGTTACTAGTCACTGACGGCTCTTGCATGATAGACAGGCGTATGGGTATCCATGGTCACCCTCTTGAGATTCAAGTAACTCCCCAAAACAAGTCTCTTTTAATATTACATTTTATTCAAGTTGTTTCTTGATTTAAAACTTTTTTTATAATATAAATTTTTTTAATTAATATAAAAAATATATTTTTTGTTTCTTGATTTTAAAGATCTCAAAACAAGAAAAGTTAACTATGTTCTGTTGCCACAGGCTTTGTTCTATTCTGCTCTACGGTCTTCTCGTGAGATGATAACTATAAATGACAGCTCCAAGAACCTAGTAAGGACCATTAACAACAGGCTAAGTGCAATATCGTTCCACATTAGAGAAAACTATTGGGTTGACAAAGGCAAAATCAATGAGATTTACCGTTATAAAACTGAGGAGTACTCTACTGATGCAACCAACAAGTTCAACATCTACCCGGACCAAGTTTCTCCGTGGTTAATGGACTGGATTCCTGAAAACCATAGGTGTGGTTTTCTTGTGGGAAACCTCCAGCCTGCTCACATGGACTTTAGGTTCTTCACTTTGGGAAACATTTGGTCAATTGTTTCTTCTTTGGGAACACCAAGACAGAACCAAGCTATATTGAATTTGATTGAAGAGAAATGGGATGATCTCATTGGACATATGCCACTTAAGATATGCTTCCCTGCTTTGGAATCTTCAGAGTGGCATATAATCACTGGGAGTGACCCAAAGAACACGTAAGTAAAATAGTGTTACCACTTAAAAATGGACTAGACTTCATTTATGTATTCGTTGCATTTTTTGTAGGCCTTGGTCTTACCATAATGGCGGGTCATGGCCAACACTTCTCTGGCAAGTAAGCATTGCGTAAAACACACGCAACATATATATATTTTAGAAAATATTTAGGTTAATGACATATGTATTTGGATGTTTTTAGTTCACATTGGCATGTATAAAGATGGGTAGACCAGAGTTAGCAGAGAAAGCAGTTAAATTGGCTGAGAAGAGGCTCCAAGCTGACCGGTGGCCTGAGTACTACGATACAAGAGACGGGAAGTTCATCGGAAAAAAGTCCAGGCTTTACCAGACATGGACCATTGCTGGTTTCTTGACTGCCAAGCAACTACTGCAGAATCCTGAAATGGCAACTTCCTTGTCTTGGGAAGAAGATCTTGAGCTTCTAGAGACTTGTGTTTGCGTCCTAACCAAATCAGGCCGGAAGAGTTGCTCCAGAGCCGCAGCAAAGTCTCAGATTCTTATCTAAATTTGTTGGTCCATGGACTGGTTAAGATGTAAAGTTCATATTGCAACAAATATCATCTGTGTGTATATAAGAAATCAGTGGTTGACACTTGACACGAGTAGTACTTTTCTACAATTAGTAAAAAGAAAAGTACTATGTTGTCTGGTAATGTTTATACATGTTAACCAAAGTAATAGTAAATAACAATTTTGACTGTATATAAGCTGGTATATTGGATTAGTTTTAAAATATTTTGCTCCAAAACTCTAATTGGTTTGGCTGGCTGCGTCTGGGGTCCAATGTTAAGTGTTAAACAAAGAGACAAATATAAGATCATGTCCACAAGTTCTGATGGGTCGATTTTTAAGGGTCAACGTTTTTTTTTTATGCCGATGCTATAAGACAATGACCACTCCCTCATAAACTAGAGGCCATTTTGTAGATTGTGGGATCCCAAATTAATATGGTAAAAAAATTCAAGGATTTTACTGAGTTTTGTGGTTACAAGATAAGCCACCGTAAGAAATGGTAAAGTCCCATGTTTTAAAAACATTCTAAATAAGGATTAGCCAGGTTATAATCCGAGATGCTACGAGGTTAGTTATACAAATAAATAAGGGGACTAGGAGGTGAGAAAGTGGTGGGTGGTCCTTGAGCCTTAAAGGAAACAAAGAAGACATCTCATACTTGACCCCAATTATTATGCCACCTTCTCTCTCACGTCTCCATCCATTTTCGTTGTCATCTCTTTGTTTTCTTGAGGCTTTACTCGTCAAACGTGTCACCTTTTTAATGGCAAAACCCTCTCATCTTTCAATTGTTTTTTTTTTTTGTAATCGGTGATCTATATATATTATATGTTTTGTACCCATTAGACTTTTTATAGAGGATCAGCATAACCATGTTGATGCACAACTTACAAGTACTCGCCCTAATCGTCATTGCATATCCTATAATATTAGGTATTTTACACAACACCCATAACTCATGGTTAATGGTTGACATGCATGCAAACAACTGGATACGTTAAGTTTGTGATTCAATCTTGATTGGGTGTACTTTTAGCAAGTTTGGCTATTATCTTATATATCGTATTTTTACAAAATGTTTCTGAAATTTAGTTTGTGAAACCGATTATTTACGTTGACTAACACAACAACAAAATTTAGATCCTCTTATAGTCCTACATATCTAACATAAACGTAATCATGTTCTTTTAAACTATCAAACGTTGTACTTATATTCTATCATGAAGACTGAAATGATATCTTCAATCAGCTGAAGTAACCACGTTCAGACAATAAACCGATTGGCTTTGATCTCTACTTATATAATTCAAATCTAGTTATAACAAAATATACATATATGTAAGGACAAAGTATGATATATGCACTCATTTTGTTTCACAAAGTTGTTTAGATGTAGGGCACACGAAAGTCTTTTTTAACTTATTATCAATTTATTATATGAATTTTAAAAAACTGTAAAGAGAAAACAAAAAACTGTTCGAGAAGAGACCAATTTCAGATAAAGAGGTCTCTCACATGCGACGCACTATGAACAAAAGAGTCGGACCGTAGGGTCTGCATGCACATGCCTTCTCGTAGACATTTATACTTTATTTACAATTTCATTTTATTTTATTTTTCATTTTTGGCATATAGTTTATAAAAATACCGAATTTAGTTTTCTTAACAAATCTATCTTATTAAAATAGAAGTACCAATAAAATATACCTCTTAGTTTTTCAAGTTATTTACACAACAATACCATTATATTTATTAATAATCCTAAATTTTAGTAATGTTGTCTTTTTCAGTTAATTTAATACATTTCTTATATTTTTTATTAATTTTAAAAACAAAATCATTTTTGGATATCCCTTAGATTTTCTCATATAACAGTTTATGCTACTGATTTTTTTTTTTCTAAAAATATAGAAGTTTAAATATGAAATATTAGAAGTGCATAATAACTATAATTTACAAATTCAATCACGTTGGACCATTTAATAACATATAGTAAACCTTTTTAAATACTGATTTCAGTTATCATTAATGTTTAAAAATGTCATATTAAACAATAAGTTAATACATATATATTTTAAAATTATATATTATTATATATAAAATAAATATATATATTTACAAAAATGTAAAAATAAACTCACACGGGTGTGCGGGTCAATCTCTAGTATAAATTAAGTTTTGTTCTGGATGAATGGGCCCGAATTAGATACATTCTTTGTCCTTAACAAATATAAAAATATTTATATCCTCTAATGTGGATTAGTTAACTGGTCGAACGTAGAACTTCAGGAGTACTGAATTCTCATCCTCGAATTCATTTTTTTTTTCCGATGGAATCTTTTAAAAGACTCTAGATATTATCTACAAAGTTTCCATAAATAATTTTTTAACTCTCGTTAATTATGTTATTAATTCCCACACAAAGAAAAAAAAAGATTATCATTGAGACATTTATGAAATGGCATCAAAACATTTCGAACCATAACAAATAAACGCAATATTTTCGTCCAACTCGTGATGTTTTTTTTTGACATTCTTCCACATTGCAAACACTTGATTATATAAATAATTTAGACATTTCGGATTATAAAATTCGTAAAAGAATAATCAAAACAAATATTACACACCACAAAGGCTCATGCAATCGGCTACAAAGCTGAGCCGAGTTTAACGGACGGCTTAAACTCAGATAAAATCTTCGTTAGAGCCGTCATGGCTCGTACTTGCATTTCCAACGCCGCTATGTAATCCGCCGTCTCGTCCAAAAGCTCTGGCAACGCCGTTCTCTTACAACCCGGCACTAACCCACCCAACGCCCGGACCCGATACCCCACCACCGACAACTTCCTCCTCCTCCTCCCTCCACCTCCCCTAACTGCTGAAGCCATCTTTGTATGCTTGTGCCGGCTCACCAATATGGCTCGGCTCCAACGAGTCGTACCACGAGCCGCAGCCGCGAGGACTTTGTCTGCCGTGTCCCGGACCGTCGTGCTCCGCCGTGAACGCTGGAGAGCATCGTAGAGTTTTAAGGAATAAACCTTTTGCGCTGACGTGGCTCTCCATCTTTGACTAAGATGGCTCGCTGGAGCTTCCGAGCTTCTTCTTGATCGACGAAGAGCCTCCAAAAGCTTTGGAGCGAAAACCCTTTGTGATCTCCGGGCAAAAGAGATTGTTTTAGTCCCTTCCACCTCCTCTAACGACGTTGGATGATTCATTCTTGGAAGTTTTTCAAGAAGTTTGATATTATGGAATCTTCTGAGGAAGAAGTTGAGCTCTTTCTTATTTTGATATTATAATTCAGAGTTAATTGGAGGGATGGATATATATGAACATTTTGGAGAGGCCACTTCTAATGCAATGATTTTCTAGCGTATTTTAATAGTTTATTTTTGCTTGTCTTTTTCGAATAAAATACCATATTTTAGATCTCTTTTCCTTGAATAATTGTACGTCTAAATTCACATTGGCTACTTATGATTGACCTTAATGCAAAAAGAAAAGAATCAGTTTCCTATACTAGAATGATACTATTTTTTTAATTAATTTTGAAGATGTAAATGAAGGAACAAAATATCTTTATTTTTTGACGGCGAACAAAAGATATCTATCTTTATTTTTGATATTTTTATAGATATTTTACACATACTACAAATTAACCTTTTACATGTCTATTTTATTTATGATGGTGAGCGGCGTAAATTTGTGTTATCACGTGTATTTATTTGATTTGTAGATTTTTTTGTTACAAAAGGAACAAAACTGGCGATAGGAGTTTGATGTAATAATGTGGAGGGCAATGATTGGTGGTAATATAACCAATGGAGTAGATAGAAGAACACATAGCTATCAAACAAAATTTAACATAAAGAAACAAAAAAAGTAATGAGTCCTTTTTAAAAACAAATGAACATAAACAATAAGAGAAGGAGAAGATGCATGTGATGGTGTTTTCTTTCATTAGGGCTGGGCATTTTATCCGTTATATTTGATTCGATCCGTTATTCGTTTCGATTCGATCCGAAAATTCCGGATATCCGTAAACTTTCGAATCAAAGCAAATACTAAAATTCAATATCCGTTAAAATCGAAGCAAATCACAAATATTAAAATTTTGGAAAGCGGATATCCGATCCGATCCGTAAATATATAAATATNGATATCCGTAAACTTTCGAATCAAAGCAAATACTAAAATTCAATATCCGTTAAAATCGAAGCAAATCACAAATATTAAAATTTTGGAAAGCGGATATCCGATCCGATCCGTAAATATATAAATATATGTATATTTTGATTATATTTAAAATTTTAATTGTATAAAATTATATAATTATTATTTTAGCACATGATTTTGATCAATTCTATTCAAATTATTACTTATATAAAAGTATTACATAAAAAGAGATAATATATTTTTGACAATTATATTTTTTTCTTAAATTTTGTGTTATTATAATTGTAACTTAAACTTTAAAAAATTACAAAATCTATAAATTCACTAGTTCTTTTAAGTTTTATTTTATATATCATGCAAAAAAATATATTTGCAAAGCAAATTTGTATCAAAATCTTAAGATTATTTGTATTAATTAAAATGGATGAGATATCCGTAAATATTCGTAAATATCCGCAAATATCTACTACCTCCGTTCCCGAAAGTAAGATTTTCTAGACTATGTACGCATATTAAGAAATATAATAAATGTTCATAGTTACATTTATTATTTGTTTTCCTACCCACTTTTTAATAAATATCCACCAATAAAATTCAGTCAATTCAAATATTCATAATTAATGCTTCTTAAAAGTATACAAAACTACCTTAAAAATATAGAAAATCTATCTTTATGGAACAAAAAATAAATCCAGAAAATTCTACTTTCAGGAACGGAGGTAGTATTTATTTTCCGGATATCCGTTTTTCCGGATATCCGTATTTTTTCGAAGCAAAGCAAATACCAAAATTAGATATCCGTAACATTCGAAGCAAATCACAAATACCTTAAAAAACCCGGATATCCGATCCGTGCCCACCCCTATCTTTCATGACATCCTCACTTAGTATTGTGGCTATTTATCATCCACAATTTTTTGCTCACGATTTTTCTATTTTCAATCTTTTTTATTTTCTTTCTTTCATTGTTTGGTGTTTTGCGAAACATATAACATGTTCTTTATATTTTTCCTCTATTAATGAAAATAATAACTTAATCATATTGATATTTTCGAAAGCATTAAATGTAAGTTTTGGATTCCTCTTGTCAATCAGTCTATAAGTAGAAAGAAAATTGTATATATGCATACCAAATAACAATATACTAGGATAAGACCCGCGCCTTGCGCGGAACGAAATTGCTATTTTCATTATGTTTTGGATAATGAAACAATAGTTCGGTTTTATTTGGATTGGGGTGTTCAATTCGAATATCGATTTGTTTTGGTTCGGTTCTGTTTTTTTTGGTTTTTGGTATTTCGGTCAGTGTGTTTCAAAATAAAAAAAGTATTTAGGTTAGTAAATATAACTACTATTCTAAATCTAATTTACTTCGGTTTGGTTCAGTTTATATACCGTCGGTTTTTGTTTTATTGGATTTTTATACCAAAAAGCATTAATATTTAGTTTGAGATCATATCATATATTATACGAATT